ACTACTACTACTACTACTACGTACTACTACTACTCTACTCCTACTACTCTCTACTCCTACTCTCTCTACTACTCTACTCTCTCTCTACTCTCTACTACTCTCTCTCTCTCTCTCTCTCTCTCTCTCTCTCTCTCTCTCTCTCTCTCTCTCTCTCTCTCTCTCTCTCTCTCTCTCTCTCTCTCTCTCTCTCTCTCTATGCACAAATGAGAGGCAGAGATCATGTACCGCTCCTAAGCTGAGTACAGTGGCACCCTCTGTTATACTCTTCCATGTCAATAAAGCATGTCTTAGGTGCCTCAACCCTAACATCAATGACCACAGAAGAAGCACATCCACAAATTCATGCATGAAATAAGAGACAAAAGAAGAGATAACTAGAGAGTAGTTGCAAGGAGGGAAAGAGAGGACTCCATCGCCAGGGGGTTAAAGCAAAATATAAAACTGCATAGTAGATTGATCAAAGAGTTGGGATTGTAATGGGACAGTGGAGAACTGTTAAGAAACTTACAAGAGGAAGGAAGGCCCATTAATAGATGAGACCTTCTTGTATGTTACCTGTACAAATAATAATGACCTTCTTATATGTTACCTATACAAATAATAATGACTGAAATGCTCTTAGGAAATTGTGGAGTGCTAAATGACCCTATGTAGATCGTATGAGTATATATAATTCTAATTCTATACTGGTCCAGACATATGCTTGGCATAGATTACCCGATTTACGACTGCCCTCAATCTGAAAGGTGGAATCCATGAGCATCAGTCTGTTAATTAAAACATATGGCATGACCTAGTCGAAGTTTTCTGATAGTTTGGCTGCAACTTATGCTTACTGTTCCAACAAAATGCTTTTCAGTGTCCATCTCATACACAACAAGGAAGCAACTTTCGTGTGCACTTCATACTTGGAGTCTAAACTCTACAGTGGAATCCGGAGTAACCCTTCAACCACATATATGGCATTACCTAATATGCCTCCCCAGCAGTGCTAAAATGTGTTTTGGGGGGCATCTGGAAAAGCCCTACCATCATAGCCTTTTTCCCAATTAATTGGGGTTGGCTACATGAATCATAGTCAGTCATTCTACTCTATTAAGGGTCATACCCTTAGTGAGGCCATAAGTCCCCGTATTGATAAACATAGATATATCAAGTCTTGATCTCCCATCATCATAATGTTATCAGATAAACTACAACCCACCTTGATTATTCAGTTTGACCATGATGAGATACTAGATCACAAGCACAACCAGGATATCACTGATCATCTTGCAAAAGAAGAAGGAGAAACCGAAGGAAATTCAAGGTTGCAAAGAAGGCGTCACAATCAAACAATCTCACTAAAGCAAAAGCTGTAGAGATTGTATCCAAGTTCAATGTTGCAATTCATACATCAGTTGATGCACTCCCAAGAGATGAACGAATGTCCCATAAAAACAAACCAATAGTAGTACATCACCAAGTATAAGGGTGACCAAATAAATCAGCATTGTCATAGACATACAGCTCAAGCACGGATAATGAAGGCCTTGATCCAAACTAACACATACATGACAACTAATGCCATGAACTGGTTTGAAAGGAACGTATGGGGGATCTAAAACAATCTAGTGTATGGTTGTAAGGCATGGGCAATGTGGGGTGTGTCATCATAAGATACATGAGATAACCAACAATCTATATGAGAGCTCAGGAAGTTTATAACCATCATCTGTAAGAGTACTTCACATCAAGCTCCATAGATGTGCCGATCTCCTTGTCATTAGTAAAGTGACCAAAATCAATGAGCCATTGAGCATGCATATGCGATCAAGGTCAAGGGAAACATGAAGACCCATTTTTTTATGCCTAGGAAGTATATCATAGAACAGAGATCCATCATCTTAAATTGTGCCAAGGAAATAGTGGATAAATGTTATATCACCCCTATGATGACATCACCAATATGTATTAGTATAGGAATGCATGCCTTATGCTGGTGATTGCCTCGTCAAATTAGAGTAATTATTGCCAGTCTAATGATAAACTTCCTTCAATAGAACATTTTGCAATTTCTCAAAAAATGTGTGATGCTCTTTCTTGAGACCATATAAGGCCTTATTGAGTTGAGATCAGGCACAAGAAAGCAATAAACTTATATATAAATTTTCTGAATAAGGTCACCATGTAGGCAGCTATGATGAATTAGATGCGGTACCAGTGTTGGATACTTTATATAACATATGTAAAACCATAAAAAACAAAAACAAAGCTACTATTGGGGCTTTTCCACTGCAGCGCCCATACATTAGATGTGAGAAGGACTTTGAACAGCCATCTGAAGAATGTTCCCATTACTTGTGGAGAATCATAGGCCTCTTAGCTATGGGTGTGAAGGTCTCCTCCATGCCTCATAATCAAGCCCATATTTTTGTCAATATCTCTTTGAAACCAAATGTGCCTAATTTTTGTCAAGTGCCTTATCCAACTTTATCTTTCATGGGCACTCACTAGTATTCATTGGGTTGATTCCCTAGTGACAGAAGAAACAGATACCTCATGAAGCATTATCGAATGTGATTTGCATGAAATACTGCCAAACTGGGACTCAATCATCATCTCATACTGAGGGAGAAAAAGGCTATCCAAAATGCTATAAAAGAGAAATATGTTATGCTGCCAAGAGAAAGAGAGACATAGTTAGAATGACATGCCTAAAGGGATTACAATAATAAAGGAATTTGAAGCTGGTCCATGTGGAGGTGGAGGTCTAGGTAGAGCTCAAATGCCATTGTTAATACATCTAGGATGGGTTGAAAGTAGCAGATGGAGTAGGGAAAGACATACAATACAAAATGCACTAGGAATAGAGTTCCCATGAAGCATATTGGCAAAATATATGAGGTCAGTGAGCGATGGGGATGTGAGGATACCAAAGCTAGTGAAAAATGAAAGGAACATCTTCATAGAGTGAGACATTTTTATACACGCAATATAAGAATATTGATAACTAATTGATAATACTATGTAAATATTTTTAATAATAAAATATTAAATAAACAATAAATTTATATAATTTATTATTATTAATGAGTGCTAGTACTTAATCAATTTATGTAATTAACATTATATAACTTTACCATTAATAGAGCAGAATGGAAGACCAAGATTAGTGTAGCCAACCTCAACTAAGTTGGGAAAAAGCTTAGATGATGATGATAATAATTAAATAACTATAATAAATTAGAATAAGATGTCATTCTAATCATTATCATAAACAAAGCAAAATTATGATACTAAATAGATTATCATAATTAGATTATTAATATTTATTATAATATTGTATATTATTTGTTTATGTTATAACTTTGCCACATAGTGAATTATATGTAGGAATACATAATCTGCACATCTACGATAGCGAAAAAAATCTGTCCCAAAAAATTAATCGTTGATTGAACCATACTTTTTATTACGGAAAATGTAAATGGTAACTGGTCCCACTAGTAGCCTCTTAACCTGTCAATCAGGTTAGATGTTGGAATCTTCAAACAAATATTGAGGAAGGAGCAGCTCCAATAGCTATTTGCTCTTCACACACCAAGCCTGTGTCTATTAATTACATGCAATTATTCTGCTTCATTTATTATAGAATAAGTACAAAAGAAAAAAGAATCTCTTTTGGATTTGCTATTTGTTGTGCTCCAAAAGCGTAGCCGGAAAATTTTTGTTTTAACATAGAAATATGTACCTTTTCTCATGCTCTGCGTTATTGCATGCCATGGCATATGCATCTTTTCTCAATAGCACTAGCTACTTTTGGAATATGAATTCACATAAGAAAATCCATTGCTAAAACTAGATTATAAATACTTTGTGAAATGATAGCATTTTGGACAGCCTTTTTCTCCCTCAGTATGAGATGATGATTGAGTCCCAGTTTGGCAGTATTTCATGCAAATCACATTCAATAATGCTACATGGGGAATCTGTTTCTTCTGCCACCAGGAAATCAACCCGATGAATACTGGTGAGTGCCCGTGAAAGTCAAAGTTGGATAAGGCACTTGACATGCTTAAATGGATTACAATAATACAAGGAATTTGAAGCTGGTCCATGTGGAGGCAGAGGTTCGAGTGGAGCTCAAATGCCATTATTAATGCATCTAGGATAAGATGAAAGGAGCAGATGGAGCAGGGAAAGACATACAATAGGAAATACACTGGGGGTAGAGTTCCCATGAGGCATATTGGCAAAATATATGAGGATAGTGAGCGAGGGTGATTTGAGGATGCCAAAGCTAGTGAAAAATGAAAGGAACATCTTCATAAAATGAGATATTTATATAAACACAATATGTCAAAAAATAGGGTATACCATCAGTAACCTCTTTTGAGTTGCTCCCAATGATCAATAAAAATTCATTTAACAAAACAGATGCTGATATTGTCATTTTTGAGATCATTAGGAAGAGAAATAAAGTATACACAACCAAAAACTATCAAGCATGAATAAGAAAAACGTGCTGCCGAAACAATTTGAAAACAGGTGATATTTCATTTAAAACATGGTTGTTAACCAACTCTCCTTTCCACTTTCTCTCTCTTTTCATCAAATTCTTCCAAGAAAATTTTTCAAAGGGCAGAAACCATTGCCTGATTCAATGTGAGCATGTCTTAACAAGGATTTGGTCGATACCTCACACTAGCAACAGCACGAAAATTTGTTGGTGCTACTCTATCTTCAACTTTCACCTCCCAATACATCAAAAACACAATTTGGGGGCATGGAAAGGAATGCTCACATGCTCGAATAGGATGTCTCCTCTAATAGGTGAACTTTAATGATGGCATGCCCCAAATGAGATGCATTCCACAGGACAGTAAGTTTCTAACAGATTCATTGAAAGAAAAGGAGAAGAAAAAGGTTATAGAGACACCTGATCAACAAGAATTTAGGTATCAGAAATTTTTGAAAATTCATTTGGTTATCATCAAGTTTAATAAACTCTTTTGTTAGAGACAAAAGACTTGGTTCATAACATGAAACTATTGTCATCTTGCAGCACTTTCAAACCGAATGAGCAAACTTGAACTACTAATTCAACATGATAAATTCTATCCCACAGGCCAAATATTAACGGAGTGCCTCTATACAGGTGAAATATCAACATGCAATTAAAAAGTACCCAAGTGTCCACTATCTTATATACCAGAAACATATAGTGAGCTTAATATGTGTATCTGTTCATCTATAGATTTTTATAGCAATATCACTCTCAAAAATTTGTCAAAATAGATATAATTATTCACATAATCAGCATTAGATTGTGAAGTTTGATAATTGAAAGAAATAGTTCATGACCAGTAAAGAACCTTGTTTTTTTTTTAAATGAAAGACATATATTTAATAAACGATGGAACAATAAAAGGCCTACATCATATTAGCACCAGATGGAGGGCACAGATCCAAATGATATTGGTCAGCAGCCTGAGACTGTTCAACTGTGTCACAGTTTCCACAAGCTTCTGAAACTCTCTGAATTGGTGGTGAAAATAACTCTGTATATGAAAAGAGGCAAATGTCTTCAGGATAAAAGCTGAACTGAAGACCAGGTGAATGCTCAAAACAACAAATACAAATTATCTATGACAAGAGATTGCATCCTTTTATTGCACTGTATGTGATAACCATATAACTAATAAACAGAAGCATGAAAAGAAGAAGATAAATTCAACACCTTCTGAACCCAGAAGAGTGGAAAGATTTCCATTTGAGTTGTTCACCCACTGAAGCACTTCACTCAACAAGTTTACTGGAGTACTCTTTACTGCTTGGTGTACATCGGAGAGGGTGTTGCCACCCTCCAAAAAAATATTGGCAGCTGGATTTCTCGATGAACAACCCGCATGCAGCTCAAACTCACCAGCACTGACAACCTGCAAATAATCATTGATTGAATATATGAAGAATATTCACATGCAAGACAAATGTGGACCAACCTTGAAGAAAAACTTACCTTGCACCCATTACATGAAGTGCAACTGCATAAAATTCCATCTCCTGCTACTTTCCCACAAAGCATGTTCACATTCTGAAAAGTGCCACCCATTAAATACGTTATGCAGTGCAATAACTAAAAGGCTCGTAAAACTAGAAACACATAATTTTCATTGAAATAGTCAAATGTAGCATAAACATGAACAGTAGATACTAGATAAAAGTATCAACGTACTTTCTTTCCTTTAATGTACTTGACAGGAAATCCATCCAGTAAACCTGTTGAAAGCAGCTCTGAAATAGTAGAAGGGAAGTTAATCGATGCAATCTTCTTTGAGATTATCAAGTCTAGTATCTTGTTTGGAAACCCCAATGGTTGAATGGCCTTGTCGTCCATAATATCCGATACCACTGAGCACATTTGAGTATTCACACTTGTATGGACTCCAATATTTTTTACCAAATTAGATTGTAGTGAACTTTCTTGAAATGGTAAGTCAAAAATAGGAGGCATGACCAAGGAAGGAAAGAGCTGTAGTTCCTGATCATCGAGTTCTCCATCCAATGCTCCAGCCTCTTGACCTAAACTTCGATCTATTGATGAGTTACAATTATATGGAAACCGATCTAAAAGACAAGCATCAAGTTCCTCATAAGTTACAACAAGGTCGGCATTGAGCAACTCACTGAAACTGTAACTGTCAAGGTTTCTTTTGCCTAAACCTGACAATGCTGATAACCCATTCTCAGAATCATAATATCCAGTCCCTGTGTCTTCTGTTTTCACAACGGCAGGAAGTTGCCCAGGAAAAGCACCCATATCATTTGAGTCTTGCTTCATATGCAAACAACTATGATAAGGATCGATTTCATGCTGTTCTAGGCAAGACACATCTTTGTTAGTCATAGAATGCGGGTCGTCGGTGTTTGAATTTCTCAATAGATGTACCATTGTGTTGCTCTCTTCAAAGTCAGATGAGCCATTACAAAGTGGTAACCCACCATCTGAATTTTTTGATAGATATAACTTTGTGTCGCTCTCTTCATAGACAGATAACCCATGAGTATCGATGTTCTCGGTGCCTGGAAATTCAGAATTTGCGGTGTCTTCACTGTCTTCCATAGTGAATAAGCTATTGGCAATAGCACAAGAGGGACCCTTCGGACTCAAAGCCAAAAGAGAATCATAACATTCATTCTGGCTCAAATCTTTTGCGACCCCTGCTTCGAGTTTATGACGACTAGAAGCTTTTGTACCTATGCGATAGGTATCATTGCGAAAACCCCAAAGAAGTTCATTTCCTATGGAAATAGAAGACTCAGCAATATCATTCTCAATGGTCCATGTCCTTTTCTTGCTGAATAAATGGTCAGGTTTACTGTCATGAAACTCATTATTGGTCTGATGTCCTTGCATTGTCCACAATGTTTCATTCATAGTTTCACCATCATCAGTCATGTTTTTATAAACCGTACCGTTATGGGTGCTTTATATTGTCTTTAATGTAAATATCTCGAAAATGATTACAAGACTTGAAGATGAGTTGGCAATCAAGCTTCAACAGCATTAATTAGAGACAAAATCCTATAAAGCCCAAGAAACCAGAAAAATCAAACAAGGGTTAAGAAATTCTGTTAGAAAATGACCTCCCTTGAACAAGATTAGCTTAAACTTCGTACAAAGCATCGATACAGTGACTTGATCTAAGAATAGAACTCCTTTTTGATACTAAATTCAAATATTTCACACTTTAGATTTGAACAAACCCATACATAATAACTAAAAGAACTAAGAATCAAACACTTCTAGTCAGAAATAGGTGTAAGAAATATCTGAACTGAACAACAACCAAATCCATGAAGAAACCATGAATGCAGCAAAACGGAAACCATGGAAATGACCAATGAAATTTACATGTAACAGACCTCCAGCAACCGACCTTAGGCTATACATTTGAGTCTGGTGCTCCAAAAGGCAAAGAAAACTAGCTAACAAAACTTCTTTTTATACTTTAGAATCGAAGGTAAACAAAAATCTTATACTTTAGAATCGAAGGTAAATACAAAATCCTCTGACAAACAATAAAGCCCTTCAAAAATCTAGGGTTTTCTTCCACAAAGTAAAAAATAAGGTTATATTTTCTGAGATGCTGTTTTTCAAAAGTACCAGAAAGTAGGGTGGTTCTCCAATGTAAAATTCTGATGTTCTCTTCTAGGTCTCAGGTGAAAACTAGGGTTCTCTTCTTCAGATAATCGTCGTTTCCTCTGCATTTTCCAGCAACAATAAGCAGAAGAGAGTTCCCTTTGTGGGAGAAAAACCAGCGTTATCGTCAGCGAACACTTGGTATTTTCTTCTTCAAATTTAACTGATATTAGGGTTTTCCATTGAAGAAAGTTAGGGTTTTCTTGCTTATAGGGATTAGGGAACTAGGTTTCAATGGTTTACAGATTAGAGATTAGGGCTTCAAACAAAAAATCTCTTCTTTATGGAAAGGAGATAAACGCAGAAGGTTGGAGAAAGGAAATCAACGAGAAAAAACGCTTCAAGAGCGGCGGTTTTTATAGGTTGCGGTTGGGCCCACAAGCGGATGTAGGGATCATTCCGTCTTTTTTATATTTTTAACGATCGAGACCATCCATTTCTTTCCTATATTCTTAAGAACGAGACGGCATTGCATGCCAAAAGAACCATTAATCAAACACTAAATATTAGGACCCCAAATATATACTCCCGCGGGAATATAATGACCATTTACTCCTTCGAATAGAACCCCACCTAGAATTAATTTTAGGAACCTAAATCTTGGGAATGTAAGCCCTTCAATCTCTAGATTAAATTCAACAAAATAATATAAAAATTTCTAATTGTACCCTTTATGCATTTAAAAATAATAATGATTTGAGATTAAATAGAGACCATCCAATTTTTAGATGATAAAATCTAAGGGTTAGAAAACTCAAACTTTAATTTGTTTTAGAATAATAATCTACTAATTCTCAAGTGGTTTCTAAAATTTCATATTGAAAAAAATCCTCCCATGTAGGTCTTTTGACAGAGGGAGTATGTCCCGAGGGACCATATTATGCATGCTCTCCCATAATTTTTTATTTATTTATAATTGAAAAAAATACACAATGGAGGAAAAAAAAGAGAGGGAAATTCAACAAAGACAAATAATGGGTTTTCTTCTAAAAAGTTTGCTTTGTTTATGGTTTAAAAATTTGCCTTATCCGGAATCGACCCCGAAAATCGCCTAGAGCATCCCGGATTAGGCCATGAAAGGAGATCAACGATTTAATCGTTGTGATGACATCGTGAAGTTGTGATGACATCGTGAAGCGGCGATTCTGCAAAGTGAATCGCCGAGTATGACATCATCAAACCTATTTGCTTTATTTTTCTATGTAAACACGGACATCTTCAAAATTTTCTTTAAAAGTAAAGGTGCTAGCAATTCAACCTATAGTCCGATGGGGATATATTTTATAAAAAATTTGATGTCTAACCGCATTTTAAGAGAATTTTATAGAGCTAAAATGTATTCTCATTATTCGATGTGGAACTAAATTTCGTCCCATTCATCTTTGAGCACTTTGCCTTTCTGATTTCTCTCCCGTATGTATCATAGCGCAATGTTACTAAATTTCGTCCCACTCATTATTCGACCTTGTTGTGCACAAAATAAACAGGTTGATAGTAATTGCAAACCCAAAGTTTGATGGTTATTAGATCATGGGATTATACTTAGGAAAAAAAATTACTAGTTTGTAGGATATTAAAAAAAAGTAAAAAATAATACTAATACTAGTTTATTGACTATTAAAATACCAGTTTATGGAATATTTTTAAGAGAACAATAACACTAGCTCAAAGGATATTTTATTATTAATTTATTTATATTATAAATTACGTAATTTATTATTTTTTCTTATAGTTGTAAATAAGATCTTTTAAATTAAAAGATATTATAAGACATTTTAGATTTGTTCTTATTTGTATACTAAAATAATTATAAAACATAAAATTATAAACCAACAATTTCAATATCAATATATAATACTATAGTTAGTTAGGTTGAAATAATTTTGGATGAGTAACGTAAATTAATAAATATTTGATACTTTGATGTCATACTAATTTCACTTTATATGTATATTTTATTAATCCTATAATATGGAAGTGTTTTCTAATATTTTTAAATTATTTTGATGTAATATTATGATACTATATTACAATTAATAATTACACAAACATCCAGACAAGAAAATAACGCCTCAATATTCACCTATTTTTACAAAGTAGTGAAAGAACATAATGCTACACTCCTAAATTCTTTCAAAAATTAAAAGAATACTATTTTTAGTGATTTATAAAGATTTTTTGAAAAACAATTAGGACAAAAGTTGTCGACTCTCCAAACCGATCCACCAATCCAACACAGGTATGGGTGATGCCGATTCGAGTCACCAATCCGCTTTTTTAAACATTGGTTTATGGAATAAGAATAAAAGCCAAATTATCAAACATGACCATTTTCACTTGTTATTTAATAATTAACTTTCCTACTCCAATGGATTAACAATAGTAGGTGCTCAATCGTGATAACTTTTGAGCGATGAAAAATGTTTAAAAATGTAACATTTCTATTATAATATATAAAATTAATTATAAATTACAACATACAATTAATTACAGTTGTATACTTGTGTAATTATTATAACTGTATATAATTATTACATATAATTGTTACCTATGGTTAAATTGTTAATTATATTTAATAATATCTTAATTAATATTATTCATTATTTACACATAATAATTATATATTAATTATTACTATATAGAATTTTTAAGCTATTCCCTTCTCACGTTCTCCCTTTAAAACCAACCCTTTCTTCCCTTCCCTCACATTTTATAACAATTATATATATTATAATATAACATTTCCATTATAGTATATAGAATTAATTATATTATATTATATATATATATATATATTAATTATGTATAATCATTATATATTAATTATAACTGGACATAATTTTTGAGTTATTCCCTTATCACATGCTCTCTTTAAAACCAACCCTATATTCCCTTCTCTCACATTTTATAATAATTATATATATCATAATAGGGAAAAGTTTATATAGAGCCGAGGCTCTAAACAATCAAATTAAAGCCTGCCTCGAAATTTTTACTAGAAAATGTTGTTTTGATGCCCAAATATCCTCAATTTGATCATCTTGGCATCAAGATGCATGGACATGAGAAAAAAATGGATTTCAAGTTTTAGAAATAGTGTATTTTGTAGTACATTTTGGACCGTTAATTTTCAAGATTTTCAAGTTTTCAAATATTTACTCGATCTACACTATTTTTGAAGCTTTAAACTTTATAAATAAAAATGAAAATATATTTTAAGGCTATCACAAAGATTTCTAATATTTAAACCACATTTCTCGATAAAGGTGGGCTCTAATTTGATTGTTTAGAGCCTAGGCTCTATACAAACCGCACCCATTATAATAAAACGTCTCTATTGTAATATATAAAATAATTATATATTACGACATATCATTAAGGAAAAAGTTTATATAGAGTTGAGGCTCTAAACAATCTAATTAGAGCCCACCTCAAAAATTTCACTATAAGAAGTTGTTTTGATGCGCAAATATCCTCAAATTGATCATCGACATCAAAATGTATGAACATGAGAAAAAAAATGGATTTCATGTTTTGGAAGTTGTACATCGTGTAATGCATTTTTGGACCGTTAATTTTTAAGATTTTCAAGTTTTCATAGATCTGCTCGATCTACACTATTTTTGAAGCTTGAAATTTTATAATTAAAAATAAAAATATATTTTAAGGCTATCACAAAGATTTCCAGCATTGAAACCACATTTCTCGACACTCTTTGAAGGCGCCCTTTACTTTGGTTGTTTAGAGCCTCGGCTCTATACAACTGCACCCTATAAGTAATTACAGTTATATAATTATGTAATTATTATAACTATATAATTATTACATACAGTTAATATGTTGATTATATTTAATAATATATTAATTAATATAATATATTATTTATTATTTACACATAGTAATTGTATATTAATTGTTATAATTATTGCAAAAACATCATCGATCTTTATCATCTTTACCCTTCCATCTCAATTTTAGGTAACTCTCTTTTATCTTTAAACTCTCTACAAATACTTAGAAAATGCCTATATTTTTAGCCTTCCTTTCTACAAGTATCATTTCTTGAAATATTTTTTTTTTTCATAGAATACAAAATATTTGTTGATGGGTTTACTTGTCTTTCAATTATCCATTCATATATATTTGTTATTTGATATCCAACGTTTCAAATATTTAAATATATAAAGGCTTGAAATTAAGCTAATTTTGATGCCTAATTTCTACACACCTCTGTCCACCCTTTAATTTTTATTGTCTGTTATCTTTCCAAAATAATTACTTTTTGGGTAAGTCTCCTTTTTCTTTGAACCCTCAACAAAAATCTAGAAAATATCCTTATTTTTCTAACTTATTTCCAATAAAATACCTTATAAAATAGAAACTTATTTGTTTAGCCATACATTTACATGTGCTACATTATTGATTCTAATTTGATTCCTATTATCCAAATTTCAAAATGTTTAAACATTTACAGTTAACTATGACTCATATATGAATTTAGTTCCATACAATTTTTTTATTTTGTATGATATATTTTATGCAATTTCAAGTTATATATAAGTTTAATTCTATATTTGCAGTCACACACCACGTGTCCTCTTATATAGTTTCTCTTTAACCTTCCATATGTCTTGTTTTCTAAAATCATATCCTTCAAGCTATAACCGTGATGTGTCATTTTAAGCCAAGTCACACCAACCTTAATTTTTGGCCTAACAAGCCTGAATAAGTCCAACTAGTCAAGCTCATTATACATATGTTGCATCTGGGCCTGATGAGATGTGGTCCACTCACCTTCCTTGAAAGAAAATGAGTATATTAAAAATAAATAGTATAAATGAAGATAAAATTAATTTTTCCAGTTGCATGCATAATCAATTGAGATAAAAAAATAAAAAATAAAAAATAAAAATAACAATATAATACATGTCACTTATTTGCAGAGTCATCAAAATAAGAACTTTAACATGATCTAAAATAGATTATGGATCATATATGATTAAAAAGATGCAGGTAAAAGAACTCCAAGTATCAAAATATCTAGAAATGATCTAGATCTGTAAAAATAATAACTTTTATCTTCCTAGTTTTACTAATATTATATAGATGCGAGTTGCACATTAGAAGAAATATAAGAGAGACATACCTGGTTACAGATCTTGGGAAACATGATGGTTTCGCACTATAGAAAATATAAGAAATGGAGAAACATAAGTGTTTCTGTAATCTACACAGAGAGGGTTGGGGATTAGCTATTGATGGAGAGGGGTGGGGGAGGGTTGAGGCAAAAGAGGGGAGTTGTAAGTTGTACTATGAAAAATAGGGTTGTATAGTCTTAAATATGGAAGAGGCAGGTAAGATGCACTGTACTAAGATAAGATTGCATTGAATAAAAGGCGAAAGAGGCGGGGTAAAATATGTATTTAGAAGCAATTTGGTATAGAAAAAGAGAAGGCGGGCAAGATGCTTTGTACTATGAAAGATAAGATAAGATTGCAGTATCTAAAAGCCAATGAGGCGGTATACGATCTATATTTAGGGGGAGTCTGACATAGAAAAATTTGAAGAGTCCTCATTTACTAATTTAGGATAGCTCGTTATATGAGCACGAGTAAAAGGTGAAGATAGACGACTCTTTTATTTGGGAGTCAAAAATTTTACATAGGTTTTATAATATAGTGACAAAAGTGGAAGTTATCAATTTATAAAGTTGGCTAAAGGTTCAAATTATATAGATTTTCATGGGATTGGATTAAGAGAGAAAGTGATAATGAATAAGAAATATAAAGAAGTAATAGAGAGTTATGATTTTCTTGTAAATAATTCAATAGGAGCACAAAGTACACTTGAAAAAGTAGTATAGATTGATATTGACTAATTATAAATGCCTCCAATTAAGAAGCTAGGTGAAAGATAAGTTACTAATGCTTGATTCAAATGATAAATCAATATTTTCTTTTTATTAAATTTAAGTTCATTACTATTATTTTTATAAGTGTTTAGTTTGTTATACTTATATTCTTTAGTATTTTTACATTTTAAATCATATTCTAATTTATTTATAGTATAGATGTAGATCTTTTATGTTGCTTTAATAGTCAATTGATTTAGATAACCAACAAGATGAATGTTTTAATTAGAGAGTTTATATAAAATATTTTAGAGTTCAGAAAGAGTGTGTGTGCATGAGAGAGAGAGAAAGAGAGAGAGAAGGAAAGAGAGTGACTTATTATAGAAATAAGGAAAGAAGTTAAGATAAAGACATAGCAACCATAAGCTGATTGTAAAATATAGTTTTTTACATTTTGAAATGAGTAGATAAAGGGACATTGTAGTTTGGAAGGAATGAGGGCAGGTTAGGTCATGATTTTTGAATGGTTTGATGTTGGAAAAAAAAGAGAGTAATCAGTGCTATTATAGATTTAGTTAATACTATTTAGAAGATGTCTATAAGTAAAAACTTGAATAGATATCAATTTATCAAATATATAACTGAATTGAAAAATAATATATTTTCCACTTTTTTAATTTATTTTAAAATATGTTTATAATTCTCATTTCTTGTATTTATATTTTGTTTATTTTCTCATAATTTTCTTATATTTATATTTTCTCATATTTTGTTTAATTCTCATATTCACTATAGAAGTAAGATGCACTTCAAAATCGACTAAAAAAGGTTATGTCGACTATTGAAATACTCTACAATTGATCATCTCGCCTTGATATGTATGGAAATGATAAAAAAGATATTTTAAGTCCTAAAATAGGTCATTTTATAATACATATCATTTAAGTGCAAATCTGATGAGATCTTTATTGAGACCTCATCAAATTCATGCCAAACGATTAAATATATGTGTAGATATATAGAGAAGTAGGCCGGTCGAAATATTGATTCAATACTGATGTATATCTAAGTAGATTTGACCCCATTCTAGTCTATTGTCAATGCTAGTTGAAATCTCACACCAAATAAATCCTTAAAAGCTAAGAATATAAACTAATCAAGAAAATAAAAAATAATTTAGAAAAAATAGTAAATAAATCCAATAAATATAGAAAATGACAAATTATTTAGCTGAGACACGAAACCTAGAGTTTTGAGCTCAGATCAAGTTGCTCTTGTGCTCACCTTCTCCTTACTTTGATGCTTTTGCTTTAGAGATTGATTTGTCAAATTCTATAGCTTGGTAAATTGAAGGAATTAGGGTTCTTTGGCCTAGATCTAGGCCTATAATTCTTAAAGATCTCCAGGATTTTGGGTAGGAAGAATTAGGGTTTCTCTAGTCCTAAGGTTTTTTTAATTAATTTTCCAATGATATTTTCCCATTTCTTAAGGTTTTCGCTAAGTTTCTAGATATTTTTGGGGATCTAGGATTTTTAAGAATTTTTAAGAATTTTGAGAATTTTCTAGCTATCTCAAGAAATTTCTAAAATTTCTAGGGTTTGTAGGGTTATTTTTCTAGGGAATGTGAGGGGGTTTATGTGGACTGAGGTATGGGACTCTCCTAAATTTTTAAAAATTAGATTTTAATTATTTAAATAATATTTCTAATTATCTTAAGAAAATTTAGCCAACTTTGACCGATCAAACCATATATGATCAATTAAAAACCACTTCTAGATATTCTTGTGGGGGCTTATGGAATCGTTCAAACAAATTTGGATCCATTGAGCTTGCCTTACATGTTGTGGCACGAGCTGCCCGACATATCACATGTCGTGTAGGCTTGCCTGACGAGTATCGACTCTCGGACACCAAGGATTTATTTGGCATTTTCCTGAACAAATATGGGCCATAACTTTCGAACAGTCTATCTGATTTAAGTGAACGTTGGAAAGCTCTTAAGTCCCCTATAATCTAGACTTGACAATATTTTTATTCTAGACTATTTTTATTATCCTAAAAATATTTTTATTTTTATTTTATATTTTTAAAATAAAATCATTGAAGAATGACGTTTCTAAACAACAAAGCACAAAATTCCAAAAAGGAAATGTGCCCAGAATCGAGATACACCATTAGACATTGCATAGAAGTTGATACAAGTGTCTATGTCCACCAAGTGTTAGTAAGTGGTCAAACCTTTGGAAATGCATGTCGAGGTTTCATGGGTCTCAAGATTATCAATTCATTCAACTAAGGATCTCTATCGCATCAATAAAAAAAAGGTCCTGTTTACATAAGTTACAATATTCTATAGTGTTTATTCTAATTGAATAGCGTAGATTTAGCACTAAAGCACTGTGAATGTTTTTAATATGACTAAGAAAGACGGAGTGAAAAATCGAATATGTAAAGATCACACCAGAGAAGATAACGATTTGTAGTTGTTATATGGTCACATCAAAGCTATTGAACAATAAATTTATCTCCATACCTAAACAACAATGATTACTCTATTGTCACTATACAAAACATATGGTCGACCTATTGTGAGCAAACAATGAAGCAACAATACTAAACATAAGAACTACATCAAAAAAATAACAAGAACTATAATCCAATGTATAGGATTATCGTTAGAAGGAAAAAACAACCCTCAGTATAGGATTGCGGTTAACTCGAACACAAATACCCAACAATGTAAATTAGTGGTCTATCCAGAATGCTCTATTTTACACCAATGAAATAATAAAAAAGTTTCAAAAGGTGAAATTCGTTAAGTTTTTGTATGTAAAAAGAAATCAATAACATGCTTAAGCAAATCTAAATTTTCGAATCTCACCTTGAGTTCTTAGCTGCTTAAATTTTTAGTTGTCACGGACCTCTCTTGCTCCTTGTATTGATGCTCTAGGTTAAAGAAAAAGAAGATTTTTTAGTGGGTTAGTCACCTTGAATTCTACATATAGCTGACATATTTTTTTTGAGAATATAATACTGTGTTTTTACACTTTTTTTAAGACAAAGTTTTATGAAAATCTCTAAACTAAAATTCAAAGATATTAAGTAAATTCAAGAAGACCTTTTGAAAAGTTATTTGAAAAATAACAATGGGAATTTATATTGATTCTATTAGAAATGTGAATTTTTTTGAAAATTTTGAAAAGCTTAGGAGTTCTTAACCGATTTCAAAAAATCATAGATTTTGAAAAACCATATTTTAAATGGACACTCTTTAGCTATGGATGATACTACCCTTGCCCAAGCTTGATGTTGAAAATCTAGACCTCATTTTTGGGCCAGGCCTACCGCGCGTCAACCATTATTGTCAACTCATTCGTGAATTAAAAAATTTATGTTTCATCTTGTTGAGCTCGGGTTGCAGTCGCCCGTCCCCCCTTGCCCCTTTCCCCCTACTCTCTCTCTAGTGGCGGTGATTTTCTATTAAACTCGCTTCATTTTCTCCCTCTGAAACCCGGGTGTCGTTTAAATCTACTCGCGAACCGGACTTCCTCCTGTCTAAAAGCTCGCAACGCGTCTCTCATTTAAGTGTGGTTTGTGTGAGCCGAGGTTCTAAAGAGTCAAATTAGACCCACTTTCAAATACTATTGAGAAATATGGTTTTAAATTTTTAATATTAAAAATTTTTGTGATAGTTTTAAATATATAGAAAGTTGAAGGTCTAAAACTACGTAACTAGATGTATTATTTTCAGAAACTCAAAATCTATGTTTTTTTCGTGTCTATTCCTATTGATGTCGAGATGATCCATTTGAATATATTTGAGCTTCAAATCGACCTCTTAAATGTTTTAGGTGGGCTCTAATTGGATTGCTCCAATTTTTTAGGTGCGCTCTAATTTGACTGTTCATACCCTCGGCTCTGTATAAACCTTTTCACTCTTTTAAACACGGTGAGAATCCCTATAAATATCCCTCTCTCGTAAGGAGCTCAAGCTGAGAGCCATGGCGGAAGACCTTTTCTCTTATAAAACATGTGGAGCACGACCCAAGCTAGGAAAAATAGCGGAAGATGTGGAGAAGAGGTTTGAGAATGTCATGAACAAATTGTCAACTTCTAAATGGTATGGAATTTGATGTCTGCATCCCCTTTTCAAGCATGTAATTTGAAGTTCATGCATAACCATTATCGGGGCCCCTGTAAAGATCATTTTGTTGTTGTGAATATCATTTGTAGCTGTCATTTTTGGATTTTCGCTAATTCTAGGGTTGATTTTTCTTCAAACTCTGAGATTTTGCAGTTCTTTTGGCACGACACCTACTTCTATGGCGAAGTCTGCTTCATCGATGCCTGAAACCCCGCTTGAGGCGAATCCAGTGGGTCTGCAACTGCATTCGAGGTCTTCAAAAGATGCCCTCAATGGAGCTTCATCTCCTCCTTTATGCAGGCCATGGGACAGAGGGGATTTTCTTCGGAGACTATCAACTTTCAAGGCCGTGACATGGTTTGCCAAACCTAAGGTCCTTGCTCCAATCATTGTTTCCTTTCGTTCTGTAATTTCTACATGGGGTTCTATACATCTGTATCTCACAGTTGGTATTTCAAAGGCAATGACAGTGACATGAAAACGGTAGGTGATATAAATCATATAAGTAAAATGTATAGTTGAACCTCGAAATTAGTTTGAGTGGTTCATGTCAATAACTGCTATTGATCTCGAGTTAGTCTCAATAGGATCTCCAAGGATTTGAAGTGGTTCTGAATTGTTTCTTTTTCTTAATTGGTAGGAAATCAAGTTGGCCTGCTTATGTTGTTAGAATGAAGTCCTTGAATGCTCTACATATTGCAAAGTCTAACAGTGTCAGTATTAATGTTGTAAAAAGCGATAGTTCATTAATGTTGTAAAAAGCGATAGTTCTTTGTGTGACCTGCTATTTTTCATTGATGGAGTAAACCAGAATATATACAGCTCATTGTGAGAAGAGAGGGAGAAGTTACAACTGAGAAGAGAGGGAGAAGTTAGTGAAGAAAGTTAAGATAAGAGAGGGAGAAGTTAGTGAAGGAAGTTAAGAGAAGAGAGGGAGAAGTTACAACCGAGAAGAGAGGGAGAAGTTAGTGAAGGAAGTTAAAAGAAGAGATAAGGTTGATGTGGCATAGTAACTGTAATACTCCACCTCAAGTTGGTGTGTGAGGGTCAAAAACACCCAACTTGTGTTGTAGATAATCAAAATTTTCTTTGCCTAGGGCCTTGGTGAAAATGGCTGATTATCTATTTGGAGATACTTTGTTGAAATGATTCCTGCCTACAATTTTTCTCGAACAACATGGCAATCTAGTTCAATGTGCTTGGTGCATTCGTGGAAGACTGGATTTGAAGCTATGTGTAGAGTAGCTCTGATACCATCTAAAAAGCGATAGTTCTTTGTGTGACCTGCTATTTTTCATTAATGGAGTAAACCAGAATATATACAGCTCATTGCGAGAAGCGAGGGAGAAGTTACAACCGAGAAGAGAGGGAGAAGTTAGTGAAGGAAGTTAAGAGAAGAGAGGGAGAAGTTACAATCGAGAAGAGCGGGAGAAGTTAGTGAAGGAAGTTAAGAGAAGAGATAAGGTTGATGTGGCATGGTAACTGTAATAAATGTGGTGAATATTTCGTAGAAATTAGAATTAGTAGGCTAGTTAAATGTGTATATAACCTCTTCCAGTCATGCTTCTATTTAGTTATCATACACCTTTTGTTATTTAAATATTTCAAAAGGAGAAAGTACAATAGACATGTGAACTATTTTTAGCCTGTGGTTTCCAGAATTGTTTGTCCATACCACTTTGTTGGCTATATTTGATGACATTTTGAAATGATTTGCTTCATTTGATCACATTCTGAAATGTGTTCTTGTTATTTGGTTGTATGAAGTTCTGTAATGGTAATAATAATGAATGTTTTACTATTGATTATAAATAATTAATAAGGAAAATTGTTTCATGCAGGCTGGACCGCATTTCTACATATGCGGTCCAGAAAGTGTAAAGCATCCATCTTTGAGATGGATGCAAGTAGGTGTTCCATCTAAAAACAATTGAAAGTAACGGTCCAAATGTTTTCTTACTAGAATTATTATTTCTAGTTTTTAAAATTTATTTATTTTTTCATATTCATGATCTCCATGTTCGAGATTACATGTCCTTAAAAATTAAGTCTAAAAATCCATCTAAGAGGCCCGCATTTCTACATATGCGGGCTTGGCAACATAGAAATCGGGTCCAATTAATCATGGGATGGAGAATTACCCCTTGATAATATTTTGGGAATCATTGATTAAAGATTTATCCGAATTATTATAACTCATGTGTTTCATATTTTTGCCTTTGTAAATGCATTTATCACCCAGGGATCGGCAAGTACAAAAGACTCTTGATATATAGTGGTTTGTTTGTGTGAAATAAGATAAAAAAGAGAAAATTCACATGCATACAAAAATAAAGGGTGGGATCTGTAGCATACTAATTTCTCAGTCTAATGATCTTCTAACTGGGTCCTGTAAGTTCCACTTGAAGCCATCCAAGAAGGGATGTGGTTCCCAATAGAACAAGAAGAGGGGCCAGGTGGGTACCTCTAGTGGTGTGCCATGTAGACTATATACATGATTGTGCCTCACTGTGTCCCATTAGATTGGTGATCTATTTTTTGTGTTTACTTGGGTTTCCTTATGTTAGTTGGAGTTAGATTACTTTTTTCAATTGCAAGTTCCTAACTTAGTTTTCCATATGTTAGTTGGAACTCCTTTTTGCAATGGGTGTGGTTTCTATAGAGCCTAGGCTCTAAACAATCAATTTAGAACCTACCTTCAAATAGTGTTGAGAAATGCGGTTTCAATACTGAAAATATTTGTGATAGCCTTAAAGTATATTTTAATATTTTTATAAAGTTTAAAGCTTCAAAAATAATGTATATTGACAGATCTATGAAAACTTGAAAATCTTGAAAATTGACGGTCAAAAAATGCGTTACAAAATACACTATTTTCAAAACTTGAAATCCATTTTTTTTTCTCATGTCCATACATCTTGATGTCAAGATGATCCATTTGAGGATATTTGGGCATCAAAACAACCTCTTGTAGTGAAATTTTTGAGGCAGGCTCTAATTTGATTGTTTAGAGGCCCAGCTCTATATAAACTTTCCCCTTTTGTATTTAGAGGCAATATTAAGTTTACTTGTAGTCCAATAATGATTAAAAGAGAATTATTTCACCAATATGAGGCCAAGGCAAATCTTTGAGCAATAGAAATTGCTTTTCTGATGGTATTGTTTCCGTCATCGTGTTGCTGATTCCAAAACCTTTTCGTGGAATTGAACCTTTTCGTGGTGCCAATTCCATGTCTCGTATCATGTACTCTCAAATCTACAAGTTACCTTAATCCTTGCTACTGCTGATTCTGACATGATTAGCCCTTTCTTCCACTGTCTTTCCTACCCCCTGCCTCCGTCCATCCATTATTTCTCCCACTTCATCTCATGCCATTACCATCACATATTTTCTTTTAGCTTCCATGCACCTATCATGTCCACATGGCACATGCCACTGACTGTCATCTCCAAACCCCACGAGACCTATCACACCATCTACACCAAAACATTAACAGCGCACCTTCCAATCTTCTTTCTTTATGCATCCCATATACTTAATTAAGCCCATAAATCCTCCTTCATCTAATCACACCTACCATATCTTTTGTCTTTCAACACCTAAACCCTATATGACCTTAGCCAAACCAAACTCATGTCTATCTCCATATGTACCATTGTTAGGATCAGGAGCTGGAATGGGGATCGTGAAAGGCCAAAAGATCCCTATGGTTGGAAGGAGCCATTCATATAGGTTTCGAGATCCCAAAATGTTAGGGATCTCGATCCTTTACCTTTTGGGGATCTGAATCCCAACTTTTTTGGGAGCACATATACTTAGGTGAGTATATATACTCTTTAAAGCAAGGATATCTTATTTATAGTTACTAAGCAATTCAACTATATTAAAATTATATTTGCATTGCTCTCTGCTATAAATAAAGGAAATTATCAGTTTGGTTGGTATCTTGGTCTTTAACCTAACTTGGAAATTGAGATCTCTTGAATATTCCTTTCTAGAGCCCTGGAGCGAGATTTCCGAGCCGGATTCCACTTAAGTTGGGATATCCAGAGACTATGATCTATACACTAACCCTAGATTAAACCTGATCATTGAATGCTAACCCCAGCTTTTGCAACCCTTATTACCACAGTAGACTACATAAAAACAACTCACAATATTATCTAATTTTGACATTTTTGGAGCCCAACATGTATATTTTTTTTTAAAAGCTTCGGCTAAAAATTGAATTTTTGTGTAATCTTCTCTATCTTGAAAGCCATCAATAGATTGGTTGGTGTTGAGTTGCCCAACAATCACCAGTGTCAAATTGATTTGAGGTCTTTTAAGTGGCATCCACCACCTGGGGTGGAGAGGGAGCCCGCTTTTATTTGATGTAACCTGTCTCTTTGCATCCTCAGGTTCAACTTTAGCAATGGCCTCAAATTAGTGGCCAAAATAATGCTGAACGAGGTGAATCCAAGGGAAGTCCCTGAGTTTAGAAAGTTAAATGATGGCCTTTGTTGAGCCTTAGAAAAGTGAGAAGAAAAACAGTAGGTTCCTCCAAACCAAATACATGACTTCTATGTCGTTCTTATGCATGTACCTGCACCTAGGGGATGGGTGGCACCTTACTTTATTAAAGCGTTTTACGATATTGGATATTCTTAACACTGAACTACAAGTAATTTAACTAGGGATTCTAGTAGGGAACTATTTAACTAGGGATTCCAATTGGGGACCAGTAAATGACCCTTTTTAGAGGGATATATTGGGTTAAAAAGTCGCATTTAGGAAGAATGTGAAGCCAGTATTTAATAACCTTTTAGTTTGTGATCAATCCTTTGATATTGATAGTTAATGAAGCATGGTCAGAAATGAGCCTTTGAAGAGCCATTACATCAATATTAAATAACTAAATAAGCAGGAGTATGGAGACACAATTGGAAGCATAATAACATCAAAATTTAAGGAAATCTCTCTGAAATAGTCTTGGAAAAAAAAAAGATATTTGATAAGTCATTTGGAAATCAAGAAATAATAAGTGTAGGTTAACGTTATAGCATTCTATACATGAATCAACAGAAAAATAGTCGTAAGCTGACACATATCATAACATCAATGATAATTGTGCAATAAACAGAGGTGTGCAAGACTTCATCACCAATCTGCATCTTTTGGCCTTCAAAAGGTATGGAGTATGGGCAGTAGTATAGCATCAACGGGTAGAGAAGATCAGGGAGAATGACAATTGAGGGGAAATTAGGAAGAATACCATTCATTAACTGGAAAACAGTCTTAGTACCCTACACTAGAGGCCTCTCACGACACATTTAGTGTATTCTACGTGTCACTAAGTTTTCTCTGAGTATACCTTAACCCTAGTCTCTCTC